AGAGTGGGCTCTCTCCCCAGACCTGCTGCCAGACCAGACACCGGACACCATTTAAACCAGAAAATGACAGGTTTATTTTCTTCAAAGCTCAGACAAGTTGAGGTGATGGCTTCAGGAACGAGCACTCGCCAAAATAACAAACAAAACAACTAATGATTTCATACTTACTAAACTAAAAACAAAAGAAACAAAAGACATATAGGCTACCCTAACTCCCTACCTTAACCAGGAGAAAAGGTAACCAAAACAACATGGCACCCGTCCTCTACTTTCCCCAAGCTCCTAAAGCATAATCAAACAGTCAAGCAAAGCAAAGCAGACAGTGCCAGGGTAGTCTGGACAGGTGTTCTTCCAGGTCGGGTCAAAGGGGAAAGAGCCCTGAACGTCTCTCAAGATGGTGGCTCGGCGACCTCTTATACCTTTGTGTGACCTCTTATACCTTTGCACATACAAAACTAGTCTCCCTGAGGGCAAACAAGGAGCACATACTAACACACTAACGAAGTGGGTCTTCTTGACCCTACGAAGACTAACAGACACACAAATATCAGATGACCGAATCAGATCCTTAACATGGAGGACCCTACGAGAATGTCATCTGACCGAATCAGACCTACTTGTTAAAAGCAGATCCTACAAAAAATGCCAGACTAACTGACCGAATCAGGTCTCTCATACGAAAAACCCTACTAGCAAGTGTCAGATTTACTGACCGAATCAGGCCCTTTGTATAAAGGCCCTACAACTCCTGCCACATCACCACTGTGATATAGGCATTCAAAGCCCTGACCAAATTCCTGAACCAAAAAACAGCAAAAGAAATGATAACTTAGAGGTGCAGAGGGACCACGTTCCACCAAGCAGCAACAAAGGTTAAAACGCTGAATTCTTAACAAATATAGGTAAAGGACCTCCTAAAACCTATACAAACTGGGATACTGAATGTACAAATGGCTGAAAGCAATAGTGATACTGCACAAAGTACTTGAAGCATTTCTAAAGCCAAGTGAAAGCTACAGCTATAACTAAAACCAACAAATGAACAAGGTCTCCATCATTATACTAAACAGAGACAACACTAGGAGACTAGCATCACTATGCTAAAACATACTAACCCTAAATTCACTTATTTCAAATACAACCAAAATCAATAGCCTAATGTTCACATTTAAAACAAGAAAATGATTTTGTCTGGAAACAAATATTCTAAAAACTCTATATTGCTTAACCAAATTACTCAAATAATGTGACGATCAAATTACAAATGTTTGACTGGCAGTTTTCATAAAGGCTCAAAAGGTAACATGTTCCAAATACTAATTACAGATACTAGATCTCATAAATGCACTAGTGTCACAGACTCTCAACCACTAAATATATATATATATATATATATATCTATGTACACATATATATATATATATTTATTTATTTATTTATTTATTTTCTTACTCATAAAGTAAATGACTAGAAAAAGAGCAACATGCAGCTCAAATGGAGTACCTTGACTGGTAGACTGGTCAGCTTTTTGCCCAACAACACAGCAGGCATGGTAACATGGCACACTCAACTCTTTACGCTGAGAGCAACTCCAAGGCGCAATTGCTCAACAGCTAGGCTGCAGGCTTCTGCTGCCACACAGCCAAGTCAAAGGCCTCATTTAAAAGCTTTTTGCCAGTCACAAGCCCACAGCATTCAAAGATCCCCAGCAGAGAAGGAACAGGATCTATGCACTGGGCAGTCCACTCCACTGCCATCAGCCTCCGCTCCTGGAAGAAAAGCAGATGCACCCAAAGCAACACCAGTCTCCTCCACATCTGGGTCTGCAAGCAGGACTCACTCTTGAACAAGTTTCTGGAACACAGCCTCCTTAATAAAAGTTAGGCTATGGAAACACAGCAAATCTGTGACACAAACCAAATTCAATTTCTGTAACAAAAGGGAGGGCAATAAAACTACTAAAGATCAAATTCCCAAAGACTAAACACTATCCAAAACTACTCACATACACACCTCCCCCAGCAATTAAAATATTAAATAAAATAGTTTTTATTTAAATATTAATTAAAATAGTTTTATTCTTGCACAGCACTGTATATCATTAAAAGTGCACGAGAAAAAGAACTGAATGTAATTTCTGTGAAAATTTGAGAACTGCAGGTGAAACGTTTTCCCTTCTCTTCGCCGCTGAAGCCTACAGGTGTGTATTAATATGCTTATATAACAAATAAAGCATGTGACTGACTCATCTGAAGGAAGCAGCATGGTTAATTAAACACAAACTCAGCGCTGACATCTGAGGGCAGGCAGAGCCTCTGAAAGGGGTTATTTTTGTTTTTAGAAATAAGAAACACACTAATAACCGCAGATAAAGGTAAGCACACCACGCTGAGAAGACATGCAGCAGAAAAAGCCTCTGATCTTCTCAAGGGCTTCCTATAGCTCCTCTTTAGAATCTATTACTTTTCCATGATACATTAGAACACTCTTTTTTTTTTTAAAAAAAAAGGTGGTTCTTCAAGGGTTCTTTAGTAAAGACAATGGGCATCATTCACCAACCGTTCTTAAGAAAATTTCTTATTCAAACCCACTTGCGCAGTTTTACAAAGATTCTGACGTTCACCAGTGTTTTCTTATTTGGGATTTGTTCTTAGGTAAGAACAGAATTTATACCCCCTCAAGAGCACAAAGGTGAGAACAATTCTTCTTCCGAAAAGTTTTTGGAAGAATTTTTGGCTTTACACAAATACTACTGAAACTGAAAACTTTCACTCAATTACATTACCAAGAAGAGAAAAAAAAAAATTACTCCTTACAAAGCTCAAAGTCCAGGAGATCAAACCTTTCTTCACCTATCTGAGTTTCTATGCATTTGAATCCATTTTTCATATAAATGTACAATGAAACTGCCCACAGCTGTGCTAATTTGACTTTGTGTGATGACTGATACTGCTGATTAGTCACTGTATCACGCAGAACAAAGAAAACGATTAATTTATATGTTAAAATAGTTACTTTGCACTTTTAAATATTTGAGTTTGTTGTAATTCTACACCTTTGGCTTCGCACTTTTACTTTTAACTGAGTAAGATTTAAAAAACTTATTCACACTTTCACTTAAGTACAGTTTCTCTGTACTTTATCCAGTGGTGAACTATGACAACTTTAGTTCGGGCCATAAATGTCAAAACAAACGAAAAAAAGCTTTAATAATAATGCTAAATTTCTGCTAGCACCCCTATGGGATTCTAGTAGTATGTTAGTACTAAGCTAACTGTGATTTACATGAACTGTTTTTAGCCACTTTAGATTAAACAGGGATGTTGAAAGTTTATGAAAAAATCTATCCCATATGTTTAATTAGAAGCTTGTAACAGAAATTATCATAGATTTGAGCTTGTAAAATGTCCTCCAGAGTCGCAGCACAGAGCTGACTAGGAAACTAAACGAAAGCTTATACTACATATCGTATTTACAGTCAGTTATCTTGAATTTCCAGAAGGACTATAGTGATGTTTCTGGTTCCACTGAGTCTTTCTGTGGACATTTTCTACAGAGCCCTGCTGGTGACATCCTGTATAAATTCAAATAATGCAACTCAGTAAGGCGTGGAAACAAGATAATTAAGTTGTGGCCATGACTTAGTAAGGCGTGGGAATAAGATAATTCAGCCTTGACCACAGCTTAATAAATCATAATCTTGTTCCCATGCCTTACATGGCCACGACTTAGGATCTCATTCCCATGCATTACTAAGTTATGGCCACGACTTGCAACACCTGCAAGACGAGTTAGCAGACCAAAATAATAATAAAAAGAAGAAGATTCCAAATCGGATAACGATAATGTTACACACTGCTTTGTAACACACAATCACTAACAATCCCGATTGGACAATTTTCTGTTGGGTGTTTCATGAATTTAACCCTTTCATTTCTCACCAAAATGTAACAATAACATAGAATTATTTCTGCAATACTTTGAGTTTAAATACAAAAAGAATGATTATTTTCTGAAACTAAAACTACAGAGTCCTGCTGGTGACATTCAGCATAAATTAAAATAATGCATGGCCACGACTTAGTAAGGCGTGGGAACAAGACAATTAAGTCGTGGCTATGACTTAGCAAGACATGGGGACGAGGTCTTACTGCACAGCCATGACTTAAGGCGTGGGAAGGAGACAGTTTAGTCGGGACGAGATCCTAAGTCGTGGCCGTTTTTTAATTATCTTGTTCTTATGCCTTACTAAGTCATGGCCACGCATTAGGATGTCGTTCCCATGTGTTAATACATCATGGCCACGCATTATTTTTATTTATACAGGATGTGACCAGCAGGACTCGATATAAAACAAATAACTATAGATTTTAATTTAAAAGAAATCATTAGGTCATCTCTGAAGGCCTGATGAGCCCTAAGGGTTCCTCAGACCCCACACAGAATCTCATAAAGTGTCAGAAACCACATAATCAAGTTTATTCACAGTTTATTGAACAACACACAGTTTGAAGTGAACATGTGATGATTTAAGCCTGCAGTTAGCACCATGCTAATTCATGGAGTATAAGCTTGCATTACATTAGCCTCATAGCGTTAAAGCCAAAGAAGAATTCCAGACACAAAACTGATTGATTACATTTGGGGTGAAGTGATTATTCTTTGAGTTATTGCTTTAGGCCTAGAGTATCTGTAAACATTTGCCAGTAAATCTGAATTAGAACATGTTTAATCAGCAATTTTAAAGAAAATTTTTATCTCTAAAGAAAATTAATTGAAATGTGTACCCACAGAACCTCCTACGGTCACGAAAATAATGACTTTAATTAAGATCCACCCACTAAGTCCCTCTGTTCGTTCTGATTTACTGCTCACATGTACATAAGTACACTTCTAATTATGCTCATGTTCAGGAAACAGAGTCATTACTGGAGGCTAACAATGATTTAAGGCCAGCATCTAACGCGCAACAAAAAAAACTAAAAAAAATAGGCATTTACCTTGCACTCTTTGCAGCCCTGAAGCAAAACACGCTGACCTTCTGACAGAGTGTGGTCCATGTAGGTGCATTTAGCTGCAAACAGAGAAATAATCATTATTTGTATTGAATGAGTGAAAAGGATCCAAAGAATTAGGCAAATACAAAGGAAAATGAAAACTGCTTGACACAAATAGGCTCAGTTCCATCAGATTTGGCTCGGAGGACATCATCAGTAATGTGCTCAGTAACAAAACAGATTGAGTCGTTTTGAGGGTAATTTTGTGCCACAGTGACCTCTGAATGAACTACTACGATTCTATCAGATGAGTTCCAGCTCCACAAGGTTTTGGATGCGTGCGGAGAAAGATACGCCCCAGCTCATCCCCCTTCGCCCCCCAGGCTGCACCTGTTGAGAGGAGCCAATCAGCTACAAAAGCACCAGGGCCACGGACTCGAACGCCGCTTTCTGCTCCTCCGCTCGGCTAATGGACTTGAATTGATTAGCCCTCATCAAAGCCTAAAGCAATTACACGCCTCTGGCAGAGAACAATCCCACAGTCTCCCCCACCGACTGCGCACGGCTGACTGGAGACGGAGAGAATAACGGAAAAGAAAAAAGTGTGGGGGAACGGCGCACTTGCATTTTGGCACTTTTGCACTTACGTCGGCACTTCTTGCAGCACGTTCCCTCCACATGTACAGCGAGAGAATCCTCCGAACAGTTGGCAAGAGGACAGAATATTCTCCGGCACTCCACAACACCGTTCTGGAAGACAACAGACAACAAAACACAGACAAATGGCTTAGTACGGAAACAGGAAAATCACCACAGCCAAACAGATTTACATATTCAAGTAGAGTTTCTCATTTCGGACTAGCAGGTTTCTCTACCTTACACATTTTTTCATTCATGCTGTTTTATCACATGGCCACTCCATTAGAAACACCTACCTTGCGATTCCACTAACTGGCCACTTTATTAGAAACACGTACCTTCTAGCTCTGCTATGTAGGTATTAGATATCGTTTGGGTAATGGTCCATTCACAACACAAGAAAGGACCAACCACCACCCTATATTATCAAGACAGTGGCTCTGTGGTCAGAAACTGGACTAGAGGATGACTAACACAAACTGTATAAAACAGATGAGGTGCAGCCTCTAACTGTACACCAGCAACATAGATCTAAAAAAGGTGGCGGGGAAAGTGTAAGCCCAGGGAGAGAGGTATTCCGCCAAGATATATGGTTATTTTTTAATATCTCCTTACCATGCAAGAGCAGGTCCTGCAGTTTTCTGGTTCAGTCCAAAGCTCTTTGTCTCGATAAACCACATCGTTCACGTTGCAGGTCCGCTCACAGTGACAGCCCTCCAACTGACTGAGCCTGGACTCCGCATAGTTCAACTGAAACACACATACACATTTGTTTATATACCTACTGAGGATACTCATAGTCTCATATACTTTATACACACACACACACACACACACATATACACATGTATACGTTGGAGGCTGTTTTAAAATCCATGTATTCTCACACCTATGACAACCTCACAACAACTGAACTCTGCATCACTGCACCATGTCACAGAAAAATTCTTGTGCTGTTAATAGAATCAATTTTTGACTCTAATGCTGCTTGAATAGACCACGGATTGTACTGATGAAGTAAGAACCTAGCTCTGTTTAAATTGAGGGGCTGGCAACTTATTTTCATAACTACAACTAGGCTGGTCAGCTAACAGGCTAAAAGATAAACATGCTAAACAACTCCATCATTAATATTACAAGCTTGAATTAAAGTACTTACGATATGATTCACTGAAAAACTATAGCAATATAAAAGTCTAAAAAATGTCACGTGAATGTCTTACCCGCTTCAAATGTTTGTGTTTCAGTGTTTAAGTCACGTCAAAACCAGTCTTAAACGACTCCGTACTCCCTAAATTGTGTGCTAGCTACGAAAGTTTAGAAATTCTAGCCTCTACAGGCAAATAGTGCATCATTCATCGAGTATGGATGTGGCTAAGTCCCAAATGACTATTTCTTAGCTAAAGTAAGCTCTGCTGTGCTGCAGGATCCAGTATTTAAATTCCTACGTAGTGCACTATGTAGGGAGCAGGGAGTCATTTGAGATTCACCCCAGCATGAGAAGTTAGCACCTTCTCACCATAAGACTCGCGATGGTGATTTGATGACCAAAAAGTACTTGTAAAGTGAAAGATTTTGCATTGATCAGTGCTGTTAGCATATGTTCATTTTTATATGAAAAAATGTTTAAAAAGTTAATGAAGTGATTGCAGTGTACTGCGATGGGCGACCGAACATTCTTCTCATTCAGCGGTACATAGTTACTTGGCAATGATACCAACGATACCATACTCTAAAGGAACTACATTTCTTGGGGGAATACGTTTGTCAATTATTAATAATATTAACAAACATTAACAAATATATTTCTAAAAAAATTGTGTATTTTTTCTTTTTTACTGTTGGCCGCCGCTTTATAAAAGGCATAAGCTTTGCATCATGCCTAAGAACACCCTTCCCATGAGAAATTCGGGAATGACACGTGGCCTCTTGTGGCTTATTGCTTTAATATAAATTTTCACACAATGTAAGGGGCAGCTGCTGAACTTAAATTACATACAAAACTAAAATCAACAAAAATGCAGAATCTTTTTTTTTTAGACAGCAACTATGGGGTATATTATTATATGTTAAATGTTTAATGTATATAACATTAAAAACATAAAACATAAATAAAATACATCAATAAAATACAGCAATCTATGTAATAAATATATTATTCTTACATATTACATATAGATGCTAACACACACACACCATATGTATGTAAGTCTTTGGAGTTTTTGTAAAAGTGCTTTAGTTAGGAAACTTTGGTCAGTTCTGTAGGATAGAACTCTTTAACACTCAGACAGAGGACAAAAGCTCCTTAGCATTCTGCTACAAAAACAAACACTGATTGCTATTCTTCTCATTCTGCTGAGGCCCAGCCTTTACTAATCTAATATGGATGAGGATATTAACGTTTGACATTGAGGTGATCAGCTGAACCCCATTCACAAACACAGACACTAACCCCCACCCCCTGCTATACAGGCTGTAATTTGGGGACCCCACCTACATCTGACATCCATATACTCATGAAGAAACACGGCAGCCACACAGACCAGCAGAGTTTAACACTTTTAACTGGAGCCAGTCACCCTCAGAAGTCTCTGAGGCAATAACAAAACAATGTCATAATTTTACATGAATTGTTTCTGACTCATAGTTCACTGACAAAAGAGGAGAAATTACAAGGAGCTTGCAGTTTCTAAACTTTCAACCAAGACCACATTAGTGTCTGTAAACAGCAGAGGAGACGTTTCATTATAACTGTTGTTGTGTGTACAGGCTTGTTTTGCAGGAAAGTAAACAGAAAGAAAAAAACATAAATAAACAGAAAGAAAACTGTTTGGTTGTTTTCCTCATTTTTTAAAAACAGAAAAATGTCAGAAGCGACTCTATCTATATAGAATGTATATTAAATATACTTCTTATATTTTTGGGGAAGGAAAAACGATAAAGGGCCATATCGTGGAAAAACAAATTTTCTTCACTTTTTGCTGAACCACTCAGCCGGCCAGCCTACGTGAACCACTTACCGAATCACTGACTGACGCTGCACCATCATGTTATGCTGCTCTGGCCAACACGCTGTGACATATTGCATTTGTTTTCATTGAGAAGCGTCGGTTCCGTCAGGTGTGGCCACGTGGTGCACGACGGTCCAGCACGTTGAGTTGTGGCGCATCAAAAGTGAGTGGAACTGAACTTAAACTAGGCAAATGAATCCAATCAGGAGGCAGCTGGTGTTGGTGGACGACTGATGTTCACTGCAAGTGGTCATCAACGACCTAATCTGTCCAGGTTTAACCCTATTAACGTTTTGGAAAGTACTGGTCTAATGATGCTTATTACATTTTTTTGACTATTCAAAAAAATAGAAACGTTAATTCCATAAATATCGACTTAGCAAGACTACATTTGTAATGCCCACGTGTCCAACTGAAGGGGAAGGAAGCGTTCAAAGCTGTCAACATGCCAGAGCAGTGTAAATGCAGTTTGACCAAACAGCTGACTGAGCGACCGAGTTACTGAGCACAATACAGAACAGCCAATCAAATGAGCTTTTTTTTCTATGTATAGCAGTCTTGAAGGCACAGTAACAAGAACAACCTGACTAATTCACAGGGATAAAGAGAATCATAAAAATGAATGACATTTTTTTCCCATAATGAATAATTATAACTAATTATGTAATATGTAAATGTTTCATTTAAATAACAAATACAATTTAAATCAGAATTTCGATGGGCTGTGGACCACAACTGGGCCAAAAAGTACCCTCTGATGTTCACTGGGCCAATATTGAGGGGGAACAGGTGGTCCATAGCGAGCAGTGAATGGCACTTTGTAATAAAAAACAATGAAAAAATAAGTGACTTAATAATAAGAATGAAATATAGTACGTTTTCAAACCGGAAACAATACTAATTCGAGCTCTGGAACAACGCCACACAAAGCAGCTTCAACTATTTTTTGCTCCTTGTCTCCAGAAACAATACAGTTCAGTATTCGTTCACTTGTGAATGTACAAAAACATGCACTGCAGAAACATTCTGCTGAATTTGCCATCATTCTGCTGAATTTCCAATATAAAACAAGCGTACTTTAGCCTGATCTGTTGATATTTTATTTTCAATGACACGTGTAATACACGATTCCTCTCATCCAGTCTTTTCCAACGACATCCTTCTGGGAGGTGCTTTAGATTTTTAAAAACTGAGAGAACCAGCTTTAAGAGCAGTTTTTTCCTACTGTGATAAGGTTACTAAACTCTTCTGAGTAGTGTATGTCCACACATTTCAAGCCTCAGTAAGAATGCACAGATGAAACTCTGCACATTTATGATTCTTCTGTACCAAATGTTGTACATCACTGCTGTCAGAACAAAACCTCGTATCTCCATTTTTGTCATACTTCAGTTTTTGACATAATTTGAAAATGCCTGTTGCCCTTTACAGCAGGCAAATCCCTTTATAAACAATATCCCTGTTGGTGCTACTTGACCTCAGCGCAGCTTTCCATACGATAGACCAGAATATTCTCCTAGAAAGGTTAGAAAACATGGTTGGAATCACAGGGACAGCCCTATCATGGTTCAAATCTTACTTAACAGAACGTTATCAGTTCGTAAAGGTAAATGACTTCCAATAATTCACAAGTAAGATTTGGAATTCTGCAAGGCTCTATTTTAGGACCATTATTATTTACATTATACATGTTACCGTTAGGCACAGTTATAAGTAACCATGGCATTAACTTTCACTGTTATGCAGACGATACGCAATTGTACATATCAGCTAAGCCTGATGACAAATATAGGTTAAAGAAAATAGAGGACTGTGTAAAAGATGTGAAAGGTTGGATGTTGCGTAACGTCCTCCTTCTAAACAGTAACAAAACAGAGGTTCTCCTTCTGGGTCCAAAAGTGGCAAGAAATAAATTATCAGATTTAACTTTAAATCTCGCTGACTTCAGTTATACCTGGTTCAGCAGCAAAAAATCTTGGTGTCATAATTGATCCAGATTTATCATTTGATCAACACATAGGCAGCATCACTAGGACAGCTTTTTTTTACATCTTCGCAATATCGCCAGAACAAGAAATGCCTTATCACTGCGTGATGCAGAAACATTAGTACATGCCTTTATTACTTCAAGGCTAGACTATTGTAACGCACTACTGTCAGGATGCACCAGCAGGAATTTAAGTAAACTTCAACTAGTTCAAAATGCTGCAGCCAGTGTTCTCACTAAAACTAGAAAATTTGATCATATCTGTCCAGTTCTATCATCACTTCATTGGCTGCCTGTTAAATTCCATATTGATTACAAAATTCTTTTATTGACGTATAAAGCCCTACATGGGCTCGCTCCTGAGTACCTGCAAGACCTTATTTCCCATTACGAGCCACCACGATTACTCAGATCACAGAGTGCTGGCTTTTTAATAGTTCCCAGAATTCAGAAGGTTTTATCTGGGGGAAGAGCCTTTTCTTATAAAGCCCCCAAACTCTGGAATGATCTTCCAGAAAATGTTCGGGACTCAGACTCAGTTGCGATCTTCAAATCTAGGCTGAAAGCTCACTTGTTTAGTTTAGCTTTTGGTAGTTAATGTTTCCCCTTAGATAAAGGCAGCAGATCCAGGGGTCCATGGACATAGGGAATTATAGTAAACTGAGACGCTGGTGCTGTCGTCCCGCTGCTCGCACGCAATCACTCAGGTTTGTGGACGGTGGAGCGGAGGGATGCCAAATTGTTTCAGGGTG